AGTTGAACCAACTAATTCTAAATAAAAAAGTTCAAATAGTATACCTTATCTGCATAAACAGGGAAAATGACATAAGATAGACTACATCATTCGATCTTTCAAACGGATATTGTATTATATACTGGGAATGAATTGGTGTAGTAAGGACACCAATAAAAGAGATGTTGACTTTTTTACACTCCCAATTTACCGTTAGTGTATGTCTTACTGTTACCACGCCCAATTACTGAAACCAATCTTTTATTTTAATCGTTCATTGGCATTAGTTTAATTTCCAAACCACCAATCTCGCACGACACATTTATTTTATTTATTTCTTTTTAATCGCTGAATTTAATTAATTCTTGATTCCCTTTTGTCCGTCCATGTGGAGACGATACTCGTACTTATACCCTATACTACGATCTTTTTAAGTGCGAGATTACTCACATCAACAGCCTATGGAATTTTTTTTATTTTATTTTTTATGAACTGTCCAGGAAAAAACCACTCAAACCTTTATACTTACATGCGCGCCCACACAAATACAAATGTGCATGCATGCATCCATGCATATATACATAGGAAATTATCTAGAAAAATGTCTAAGCCTCCACACGGTTACAGTAAGTGTGATTGGTAAATTATCATAACTATTTTTATATAAATAGTTGATTTTCAATATTAATTTTAGAATTTTTTTAGCCAAATAACTTTTTTATCGTCAAGCCCCTTGTTGTTCAATTGCATCAATGTCCATCAATGTGACAGTCCCAATCAGAAGCACATATGGTTGAGTCCTATCACAATTCAAGAATGTTGATATTTAACATAGAACATATATTGTGCGGAGTAATTTATTAGTGAGCATAGTAAAAAAATTAAAAATGGTCATCGGGCGAGGCGCTTGCATGGTTTATCCGTTAAAGGCGCTTCTATATTTGTATTTGATTAAAATTAAAGTTATTCTATTTAAATGTTTGCGTAGATTGGTCCAATATAGAGAATTATTAGATGCACGACGATGTGGCCATATATACATTGTCCGACTTTACTCGCCACACAAAGGTGCTTATCCAATGAGAAATTTACTTCACGCATTCATTTTTTTGACAAAAAAAAAACAAGTCGCTAAAAGATATATGTGGAAAAAAGATTAAAAGAATTTGTCAAACATGAAATGTATGGAAATTTATTTATATTCTTTATCAATAATGAGAACCTAATCACCAAATTTATGGATCATCATCATAATTTCAAAGTATAAAAGGAGTTCTTTCAAACCATAATCTAATACAAATAAAACATTTCAAAGCATTTCAAAACATAAGATATAACAATGGCCTTTGCCCAATGCATAATACTTTTTGCGTCCTTTTTTCTCTTTAACTTTTGTTCTTCTTAAAATACCAATGCAACTCTAAATGATTTTTCACCCGCCATTGCAACATGGTATGGTCCACCAAATGGACATGGAACAGGTAATCATAAATCATACATATATTTATTTAAGTTATATGCCATGGAAACAGTAGATCTTGCTAGATTCATGCCTTATTAAATGTGCATTTTATTGAAAATAGTTTGGTTTGAATTTATATACATATGTCATTTACAGTTTTCAAAGTTGACTAATCATAAGTTAAGTATTTTGTGCAAATATTCAATAATTAGCAATTTATTGATGTTTAGAATTTGCACTAAAAGTTATATTGCACTAAAAGTTATATTGAACCAAATTCTGATACAATAATACGGATGTTTAGAAATTGCACTAAAAGTTATATTGAACAAAATTCTGATACAATAAAGTTTTGATACACAAAGTTATAAAATGAACAAAATGCATGTATATATTGGAAAAGAAATATAGAAGTAGAAATGGATAGAGAAATACAATACACACACACGCATCCCTATATGAGGAGAGTTTTAGCTAGTGAGAATCAAACTTAAATTGAGAACTACTTATAAAAAAAATTGTAATTACAAGCTTTTATTTTATACGACCATTGGTAGGATGCACATGCATAGGATCCTGTGTATAATCATAAAAAGTAAAACAGGCTTTATTTTGTAACATTATTACAAAAATATCAAAGGTGGAAATTAAAAGATCTCATTTGATCTATAAATGAGTTCTCATTCTATTTATAAAAGTGGTTCTCATTAAAACCCTCCCATATATACGTGTGTGTGGGCGGTCCCAATTATTAATATTGTATATTATACACCCTTTTTACAATTTATAGATACTGGAGCTTGTGCATTTGGAGACGTTAGCAAGCCTCCCTACAATTCCATGATTTCTGCGGGAAACCAAGCTCTATATAAGAGTGGCAAAGGATGTGGAGAATGTTACCAGGTATATAGTGGGTACTTTGGAAATAGATCTTAATTAGTTATAATAAATATGATTTAATGATAAATAAATAATATTAGTGTAATAGAGAATATTTACTATTTTAACAATTATAATAACAATATATCAACAAATTAATGGAGCTCACTTAAGTTTATATTATTACTATAATTTTATTATAGCTTATTGATAAAAATGGTGTATCAACACCAATTTCCATCAGCATCCAGATGTTGCATTATGGATTAATATCTAAAATATGATCAAAATAAAGATAATGAATAAAAGTGTGACTTAATAACTTTTGAAACTATAATTATGTTTAAATTTTACATCAATGTGACCATAAAAATATATTGATAGTCACTGTGGTCATATTCTTACCCACAAATTTTATATATTTAGTTATATTTTAGAAACAAATCTTTTCTTATTCTAAGTTTGACTTACTCTTTTTGATAATTATAAACATGTCAAAATAAGAAAACAGTATTACATTTTCATCTTTATGCTAAACTGCTTTCCCTTTTTCATGATTTGTTTTACTTTTTTCACTATTTATATATACTACTACTTCCGTCCCACTAAGATTGGGACAAGAGAAAGTGACACGATTATTAAAAAAAGTCAGTTTGTGTGGTTGATATCAAATTGATAAAGTAAAAATAAAGTGAGAATGGTTTAGAGTCACACAATCTTTACCAAATTTGGTATGAAACAATCTTAGTGGGACTTGCCGAAAAGGTAAAATGGGACAATCTTAACGGGACAGAGGGAGTACTATTTTAATCTAAAGTATCATACGAAGCGAAACAAATAAAAAATACAGGAAAAGTAGGATATTTTTTCTTATTTGAGTGAAATTTTGCGTACACGCATATAATGCATGAATGCATAATTATGGTTCATAAAAAGGTCTATTTATGATTTAATATAATGCATCGTGTATACACACACACACATGAACAAGGGATAGATTGTCTTGCATACCGAATTACGTACATATTATATATATGTGATATATATCTATGTCACGGGTAAAATGCACTGAAAATCCAATATGCTCAGGAGAACCCATTAAAGTTTACATAACTGATGAATGTCCGGGTGCATGCAACAATGAACCGGTTTGGTTTGACTTGGGTGGACTAGCTTTTGGTTACATGGGAAAATCAGGTCAAGGTGACGCCATGCGCAATCTTGGAAGGGTTAAAATTTGGTACCAAAGGTATATTTCTCTTTTTACCAAGTAAATATCATATTTTAATTTATTTTTGTTTAATTTTGTTAATATTATTCACTAGTATTGTATTATTGGTCACACACTAATTATTCAATTTATTTTTCAGCGTTCCATGCTAGGAATGAAAGAAGGTGGAGGGAGTTGATCCTTCATGTGATTGCATTATAATTATCACTCATGATCATATCAAGGATGATTAAAATGTCACCACCTTCTATACCTATCGATTTTTATATATTAATAAAGTATCTATATTTTTGTACTCTACCAATCATAAAGAAATAAAAGGGGAAAGTTAAAATTAGTTTATCAACTTCATAGTTTTTTTTTTGAATTTCTATACTTTGATTTGTTCTTTCAAATAGTATATGTCTACAAAAATGGACATTGAATGCATACTATGCTTCAAACTCTCTTCCCATTTAAATAGTATTATAATTCCACTTATTATATATATATATATATATATATATATATATATATATATATATATATATATATATATATAGGTTTTGGTTCAAATAAGAACACAATCTTATGAGAGAAATGAGAACGAATCTGGACCGTTAGATTTGCTTCAAGTGAAATTCAGGTGTGCATTACATGAAACTGTAATGTGCATTAGGTGAAATTGAAATGTGCATCATAAAGGGTACGAAGAGTGGCATTATGTGCAGTTGAATTGTGCATTACGTGAAATTGAAATGTGCACTAGGTGGAGCTGAAATGTGCAGAATAAAAAGTACGATGTAATGTTATTTTTGTACTTTTTTTCGCACATATCAGTTTCATCTAATGCACACTTGAGTGTAAATTTTTATTTTGCACATTTCAATATCATTTTATGCACATTTCAGTTTCACCAAATGCACAATTTGGTTCCACATAATACAATCCAACAGTCCAGATTCGTTTTCATTTTTCTCCTAAGATCTGTTCTTACCGGAACCGCTCCCTATGTGTGTGTGTGTGCGTGTGTGTGTGTGTGTGTAGGGAAGAGATCCTGTCTAGCCGGAGGGACAGGACCTGCCGTCCGGCCGTCGCGATTTGGGGCCCTTCCCGGTAGAATTTTTTGCTGAAATTTTTTGAGCATGTTCTTCATGAAGTCTAGTTTATCCATAATAAATTTCAGCTAAAAATTCAATTGGGAAGGCAGTCAAACGATTTTTGGAAGTTAACTGCGCAGTTTATATACATATAAAACGCAGTTATCTTCCAAAAATCATTTGAGTGCCTTCCCGGTTGAATTTTTAGATGAAATTTGGTATAGATAAACTAGACTTGATGAGGAATATGCTCAAAAAATTTCATAAAAAAATTCCACCGGGAAGGAACTCTGATGGCCTTGTCTGGACGGTCCCTCCAGTCCATCCGGAGGGACCTGATCTTTTCTATACACACACACACACACACACATGATAGGCTCGTTCCGTTCCTATCTTTTCACCCATATTTTGAGTGTTAATTGTCTAATTCTTATAATTAACCGGGTGACTATTGGGAGTTTTGAGTGAAAATTTGCTATTTTTCGGTACCGGTGGCATTCATTTTCAGTTTAGTATTTTTCACGCAAATTGACATTTTTGGAGTAATTTGATTGTAAAAATGCATATGATTAGCGGTTGTGGTGAGTTGTGATTGTTACTTCCGAATTGTGGTGGACACACATTTTTTTTTGTTGAGGCTGGACAATTCGATGGCTCTTGAAAAATATTAGGCGCAGCAGCCCAATTAAAGAAAAAAGGCAGCACCGACTAGCAGCCCAAAAAAAAAAAAAGAGAAAAAGATGAGCTGAGTTTTAATCCCTGGAGCCGCATGACAACTTCCATTCCATTCATTCTCCTTATCTTCACAAAAACGCAACAGTTAGAAGACCAAGCACCTGCAATTTTTCTTTTCTGTTCATTTAGCAACAAGCAGTAGGTAGAAATTTTTCCTTTCGTTTCTGGTCAATTAGCCGCAGCAAGCCTCAAGAATCTGGGAGGGCTCTAAACTTCACTTTTCTTTCAATTGCTTCCCTTCTAATTTAGATTTTGAGCAAGTATTGTAAGTTTACTCATCATTTACATCATTAGTTCTTGAATTTGGATTGAATTTCGAATATGTTTGTCTCCAAGTAGTAATTTCAGATTTTCCATTAAGTACTCATAATCCAGTTTTTATCTAGCTCCTTATCATGCTAATCAATATTATTGTGATGTTAATTTTAATTATGAGTAGCTAATTTCATATAGGGTTTGAATTGGGGCTAGGGTTCATGGGTTCTTGAGGGTGTGAATTTAGTTTTTTGAAATTCAATTAATTTTCTGGAACATTGTATGAGACTAGTCATAATTGTCTATATGAATTTGATCACCTCATATATGAATTTCTGGATTTAATTCAATTCTTGTCTATGAGAAATTGAGTTAAATTAGCTCGGATCTTGTACAAGCAATTTGATCTTAGAAATAAGTTAGGATTGTGAAAATATGATTTAATTCTTGTCTATGAGAATTTATTTCATTTTCTTTCCAGGAGTAATTGAGAATTAATTAACTTAATTCTAATCCCGAAAGAACACCCAGAACCCGAACCGTCCAATTTGAACCCTGTTTTAATATTCTGAATCAATTTACTTATTTTTTTCATCTATTTATTTTTGCACTTGCTGTTAGTTAATTTTTTTAATCACCCATAAAAAAGAAATTATTCGGAAAGATTACCATGACTTGTGCTAGCCTGTGATCACAGATTGTATTTAAAACTTCCTTTTTGCCACTCCTTGAGAGACGATACTCGTGGTCTGGTTATTCTTCGGATTAGCCAACTACGTTTTACTCACTAAAAAATACACCGATCAAATGGCGCCGTTGCCGGGGAGTGGCACGGTTGTTTGTTAAGTACTTTTCTGTGGAATAGGTAAAAGCAAGTCGGTGAGACTTTCTATTTTTTTTCCTGTTATTTGTGTGTCGTTTTTTGTGTTCTTTGCATGTGAACTAAGCTGCAGGAACAAGTGCATGCGCACTCGCTCCTCGGGAAAACAAGATTTAATTGCAGGTTATTCTGATCCTGAACGCTTATTCCGAGGAAGAGCTAAAAGGCGTTTTCTAGAAGACTTGGAGAAAATGGCCGATCAGACAACTCTAGAGACACTGACGCCTAACTATGTGGCGAGAAATAGCATTGGAGCACCCACCATTGAGGCCAACAATTTTGAAATCAAGCCGGCCATGATCCAGATGCTTGCTAATAATCCATTCTGTGGATACACTCATGAAGATCCAATGGAGCATATTGAGAGCTTTATTCAGACTTGTGCCACATTCAAATATAATGGAGCGTCTAGCGAAGCAGTCAAGTTGACTTTATTTCCATTCTCGTTGAAAGACAAAGCTTCACGGTGGCTCCGTAGCTTTCCAAATGGGCACTTTGATACATGGGAGAAGCTTCATCAGGCATTTATGCAGGAGTATTTTCCTCCCTCTGCCGCTATCAAGATTCAGACAGAAATTCTCAATTTCACTCAAGCTCCGACCGAATCTTTCAGTAAAGCGTGGGATAGGCTGAAGACACTGAAAAGGAAGTGCCCTGAAACATTCATGAATGCAGCAACAATTATGTGCAGATTTTATAATGGTCTTCGGTTGGAGTATATGAGAGAACTCGATCGGGCATCTCAAGGGGGTATGTTTCTAAAATTATCCCCACAGGCAGAAGAACAAATAATTGAAAACCTGGCTTCAATTGATAAGTATTGGTATGCGGGCAAGGAGAGAACTCAAAATCCACCCGGTTTGCTCAATCTTGATCCCATCACTGCACTTACAGCGAAGATTGAGGGACTGGCAGTGGACGTGAAAGACTTGAAGGCACAGACTTCTCACCAGCAACAGGTCCATAATTTTGGAGCATATCAGCCCTCTTATCCTATGTATTCTGCCCCACTTCCTGTTCGAGCAAGCTATCCAAGCCCAACCGGCCAAGAACTCGCTTTATCTTGCGAGATGTGCATGGGAGCTCACCTCACTCACACCTGCCCTCTTTATGTTCAAAATCAGGCACCACCAGTGGTCCAGAACATCAATTTCATGGATTACAATCAAGGCCAGAGAGGTGGTGGGCAGTTTTTCAACAACCAAGTTCAGAGAGGAAACTTTCAGCAAGTAGGAGGCACGTGGAGGCCTGAAAATCAGAATCAAGGGCAGCGAAATGCTCCTAATTTTCAAGGAAATTTTCAGAACAGAGGCAATTCAATTCAGCCCACTTATATCCCGCCTCATCAAAGACAACTTGAGCAGCCTCCTGTAAATGTAGCGTTAGAGAAAACAGTGGCTGAATTAGCCAAAAACCAAGCGGTGATGCACCAGCGTTTTAGCAACCTTGAAGCTCTTATCCGCCAGCTTGGCTCAAGTGCTTCAAGGGAACCGGGCAGCCTTCCGAGTTCAACAGAACCCAATCCAAGGGAGCAAGTGCAGGCAGTTACACTACGCAGCGGGAGAACCCTTAAAGAAGATGATATTCTGCCAGTACCTCAACAAAAAGAGGACCAGCAACCTCAAGGCTCGGATTCCCAGAAGGTTGAAGAAGAACAAGTGGATGCTCCCTGTTCAGCCAAGAGTGAAGAAGCTCAGAAGAAAGAGGAGAGTAAGAAGACTCCACCCCTTCCATTCCCTACACGGGTAAAGAAGAGCAACGATAACACAAACTTGATTAGATTTATGGAGCATCTGAAGCAGCTCCATATCAATATGCCATTCATGGAGGCTTTGACAGAGATGCCGAGGTATGCAAAATTTATGAAGGACCTCCTCACGAAAAAGAGGAGGTGGGAAGAGCCAGAAGTTGTGGATCTCAATGCAGAATGTTCAGCAGTTGTTCTGAAGACCATGCCTCCGAAACAAAAAGATCCAGGGAGTTTTCTTGTACCTTGTTCTATTGAAAACTTTAAGTTTAATAATGCTTTAGCTGATTTAGGAGCGAGCATCAATTTGATGCCTTCCTCTGTGGTCATGAAACTTGGCTTGGGTGAACTTAAGCCCACTCGTATGAGCCTCCAGCTAGCGGACCGATCAGTGAAATACCCGAAAGGAATTCTAGAGGATGTATTAGTACGGGTGGAAAAGTTCATATTCCCTGTTGATTTTGTTGTCATGGACATGGAGGAAGATCGTGAGACTCCACTTATTTTAGGGAGGCCCTTCCTGGCTACTGCTAGGGCCCTTGTTGATGTTGCTGATGGTTCACTTTCTCTGAGAGTTGGGGACGATGTGTGTACATTTAAACTCTCAGATGTGATGAGTAAGGCCTCAGACTCCGCTGAATCATGCCATTATCTTGACATGTTTGAGTCAGTGGAGGGGTATTTATTTGGAGGCGATAGTGATATTACCCCACCCGTTAGTGAGACTCATTATGTGGGGGATGTAGTCGCTGAAAATGAAGAAGAAATGACTGTTGATTGCGAGCAGGTGATTAGGGATGATGTTTTCCCTGAGTTGCTTACTGAGTTTGAGGAGCAGTCCACTGATAAGGTTACTCCTAAACTCAAACCGCTCCCTAGTCACCTGGAGTATGCGTTTTTGGACACAGAGGGCCAGCACCCTGTTATTATTTCAGCTCAGTTAGAGTCGGGACAAAAGGAAAAATTGGTGACATTTATGCGTTGTATGATAGCTATCTTTAAAAAGTTTATTGGTGACTTTAAGGAGGTTCTAAGCCTTGAGCCAGGTTAGGAATGAGAATCTTTGTCAAGCTAGTGACGTTAAAGAAGCGCTTTTGGGAGGCAACCCACCTTATAAAAAACATTAAAAAAAATAGAATTAGGAGTTTTTTTTTTGTTTTTGTTTTCTTTTGCATTTTTATTTCATTGTTTTTTGTTTTTATCTCGGAGTTGTGCGGTTGGATTTCTTTGCCTTGAATTGCAGGTGTCGCATGGGAGTTTATGATCTGATTTTGGAAGAATTGCTGCCCTATGTAAATGGGGTTACTCAGAGCTACACGCTGCAATTTACTTCACAGAAGGTGAGAGTGATATTTGAACTGGGATTCAACTTCAGACACTCCTAGGGACAGAAACTTGGCAGCAGCAGAGGAACATTTCTGGGCAGATTCTGGGAGATTCTGGACGGTGTGAGGTGACGACTTTTGAGGCCAGAACAGCTGGTCCTTGGCCTTTGAGTGTGTAGTTCTTTCTTTGTCAGCAGGAGCATCACATTACATAAGGGAGGGAACAATTGGATGACTAACACGCTCCCATCGAGTTCAGTTTTCAGTGGACATGATTTCAGCATTCCAGTGGCAGAATTCAGTGGCACCTATACACTGAGGAGACCGATTTCAGATTTATTATGGAGGTTATTCACCGTCGTTTGGCTTGTACGGTATTCTGCCAACTTTTACTACACTGCTAAGAATGTGTGTTTACTCTTATATTACTCCTCTTGTGTGATTTGTGTTGATTATTATTCTGATTATGATGTGTTGCCGGGCTGAAAATCATTTTATTCGTTAACTTGCCCCTGCTATTTTTGCTTTCAAATCTTTTCTTTGACCTCGAGGGCGATGTCACCCCTAAGTGTGGGGAGGTTTGGTTGTAGCTTGGACATGGCATTTGGTGATGAAGTTATTCTGCCCAACAACATTTTGAGGTGCACGTGGTTTTTTTCTAGTTTAGCAACGCAACAGAGGTAACTTGTTAATCTTTATTTTCTTTTGTAAACTTCCATCTCCTTCATCTTTCTTGGAAAGAATTAGTAATGGTGTAATCATCGGGGTGGTGTGTATATTCTTGGGAATGTTGGCATGTTGGATGGTTTGATTTGTGGTGATTAAATTCGGTGTTACTCGTGATTCACTTGTTCGTCATCAATAATTCATCAATAATTCATTGACTGACCAGGTGTTGAAAATCCTTACTCCGTAAGGAGCTCTGCTTTCTAAGCATATCGGGATAACGTCATGCTAAGCAGGTAACTGATTCTTGTAATGGGGTTACACTTTGTGTGTCGAGAATTTCATCCCCGAAATGGGGCTCTGCTCATCTCGCGAATCACCTCGTGTGAGAGTTGAGTACACAGTAATGAGATAAACTCCTAGGCCCTAGAGCTTGAATCAGTCCTGTAATCTAGAACCTGGTCAACTTTACATATTCAAAAAAAAAAAAAAAAAAAGAATCACGAGTATTCCGAGTTTTATCACACAATTCTTGGTTTTTTTTGGAATGATTGGTGGTTTGAATTTCACACACCTACACCGTTGGGATCCTCATGCTTTTCTCTACATTTTAGTCGGTTGGAGAGGAATTTTACTTTTGAAAATATTGTTTAACATGTGAATCTTGGTTCCGTTGTTAAGAAAGAAAAGACCTTGTGCAATCATTTGTTTTGGGTGTGAATGATTTTTGAACCAGGTGTTGCATGTGATTATTTATGTTTTCCGTGGGTTTAATGCATTGTTGCTTGGGGGCAAGCAACGCTCAAGTGTGGGGAGATTTGATAGGCTCGTTCCGTTCCTATCTTTTCACCCATATTTTGAGTGTTAATTGTCTAATTCTTATAATTAACCGGGTGACTATTGGGAGTTTTGAGTGAAAATTTGCTATTTTTCGGTACCGGTGGCATTCATTTTCAGTTTAGTATTTTTCACGCAAATTGACATTTTTGGAGTAATTTGATTGTAAAAATGCATATGATTAGCGGTTGTGGTGAGTTGTGATTGTTACTTCCGAATTGTGGTGGACACACATTTTTTTTTGTTGAGGCTGGACAATTCGATGGCTCTTGAAAAATATTAGGCGCAGCAGCCCAATTAAAGAAAAAAGGCAGCACCGACTAGCAGCCCAAAAAAAAAAAAAGAGAAAAAGATGAGCTGAGTTTTAATCCCTGGAGCCGCATGACAACTTCCATTCCATTCATTCTCCTTATCTTCACAAAAACGCAACAGTTAGAAGACCAAGCACCTGCAATTTTTCTTTTCTGTTCATTTAGCAACAAGCAGTAGGTAGAAATTTTTCCTTTCGTTTCTGGTCAATTAGCCGCAGCAAGCCTCAAGAATCTGGGAGGGCTCTAAACTTCACTTTTCTTTCAATTGCTTCCCTTCTAATTTAGATTTTGAGCAAGTATTGTAAGTTTACTCATCATTTACATCATTAGTTCTTGAATTTGGATTGAATTTCGAATATGTTTGTCTCCAAGTAGTAATTTCAGATTTTCCATTAAGTACTCATAATCCAGTTTTTATCTAGCTCCTTATCATGCTAATCAATATTATTGTGATGTTAATTTTAATTATGAGTAGCTAATTTCATATAGGGTTTGAATTGGGGCTAGGGTTCATGGGTTCTTGAGGGTGTGAATTTAGTTTTTTGAAATTCAATTAATTTTCTGGAACATTGTATGAGACTAGTCATAATTGTCTATATGAATTTGATCACCTCATATATGAATTTCTGGATTTAATTCAATTCTTGTCTATGAGAAATTGAGTTAAATTAGCTCGGATCTTGTACAAGCAATTTGATCTTAGAAATAAGTTAGGATTGTGAAAATATGATTTAATTCTTGTCTATGAGAATTTATTTCATTTTCTTTCCAGGAGTAATTGAGAATTAATTAACTTAATTCTAATCCCGAAAGAACACCCAGAACCCGAACCGTCCAATTTGAACCCTGTTTTAATATTCTGAATCAATTTACTTATTTTTTTCATCTATTTATTTTTGCACTTGCTGTTAGTTAATTTTTTTAATCACCCATAAAAAAGAAATTATTCGGAAAGATTACCATGACTTGTGCTAGCCTGTGATCACAGATTGTATTTAAAACTTCCTTTTTGCCACTCCTTGAGAGACGATACTCGTGGTCTGGTTATTCTTCGGATTAGCCAACTACGTTTTACTCACTAAAAAAATACACCGATCAACACACACACAAGAATGATCAGGTCCCCACGTTCGGACAGGACCCTCCGTCCGAACATCCTCGTTTGGGGTTCTTCCCGGTGGAATTTTTTGATGAAATTTTTTGAGCATGTTCTTCATCAAGTCTAGTTTGTCCATACCAAATTTTAGCTCAAAATTCAATCGGGAAGACATTCAACTCATTTTTTGAAGTTGACAGCGTTTTTATATGTATATTTTGACACAGTCAACTTCAAAAAATGATTTGAATGCCTTCCCGATCGAATTTTGAGCTAAAATTTGGTACGAACAAACTAGACTTGATGAGGAACATGCTCAAAAAATGACATCAAAAAATTCCACTGGAAAGGGTCCCAAACGTCCATCTTCGGACGGTGTTCGGACCAGGAATGTTCGGACCTGAACATTCCTCTCTATATATATAGTGGTGATCAGGTCCGAACTTCCGGAGGACTTTCTGTCCGGCCTATATTAACTTAAGTCGTTGATTTGAAATGGACGGTTAAGATGTTTATTTAATTTTATCCTCATCGTGCCTCTATTTTTTTATTATTACTTTGTTCGCTTATTCCTCAAGTCAAACGCAAAAACGGAGATACAGAATAATAATTGAAATTTCAAAATGATAAAAGATGAAAAAATCAAAGAAGATATATACGAGAAATCGTTTTTGAAATTAGAAGCCATCTAGAACACACAGGTCGTCATCTTCTCAATTTTGCAAAATGCAACTTTAACTATTCTTATACTCTGTATCAAATAATTAAAATTGGGATGAAAAAAATCAAGAGTTGAGATTGATACCACCCAAAAATGAAACCCAGATGCATTCCATAGAAAAGACCCAGAATTTAACAAGTCCAATATATATGAATATACTGCATAAATGAATAGGAGATCTAATTTCATAGAGGAACTATAAACAATGGAAGATATGTACAGTACAACCATCTTGGGAAGAAAACAAGAAGATTCATTTGTTTTATATGGTGAAGTAGTCCTTGGATCTCAACAACTTGAAGAGCTTTTTGAAGAACACAAGGTGATACTCATGAAAGGAGAGTTTCTTTCTTTCTTTTTTGGCAAAAGGAGAGGAAGAGGGTTTTTAGGGCTCATACGGCCATAGATTTAATGAATCTCAAATCTTGGCCATAGATTATCATCTAACGGCTTATACAGGAATAGTTCGGACATGTAGTCCTCCGGAAGTCCGGACCAGATCAAAACTCTATATACGAACTATATAAGCAAATAAATATCTGTAAACAAAATATGAATCAACATACATTACGTATTCACACGTAATTGTAGTTTAATTCAATTCTAACCCGATACAATGATTCTTTTTCTATATATTAATATATATATATATATATATATATATATATATATATATATATATATATATATATATATATATATATATATATATATATATATATATTCAACTCGTGATTACATATGAATGTACCTATTGATCTTCAACGTTGACAACTACGAGTTCGAACCATGCAAATAAAATGAATACGGAGTATTTGAAAAGGAACTACTACCACCGTCCCTTTTTTATTGGGACGGAAGAGGGTGACACGAGTTTTAAGAAAAACGGGTTTCTGTGGTTGATATTAATTGATAAAGTAAGAATAAAGTAAGAATGATTTTGAGACACACAAACTTCACCAAATAAGGTATGAGACAATTAAATAGGGACATATCAATATGGTAAAACAGGACATTTAAAAGGGGACGGAGGGAGTATCTTTTAAAAAATGTTGGGCCAAAAAAAGTACATAATTTATATTACGGAGTATTAAATAAGTTGTAATTACTCAATATTGTTCTTTCTTAACTCCTTTCCTACATAGCTAAACTTGATGAACTAATATAATGCTAACATTGACTCATAATTACAAATTTCCAATAACAAAAATAAATAGGTTTCTCACACAAAATTTAGAAACTCAAGAACCGAGAAACAGTATTATGAGTCTATTACAAGTGCTTGTATTGTAAGATAATCAGTACCGTCCCCCTTTATATTGTCTCGTTTTACTTTTTTGAGATGTCCCCTTTAAATTGTCGCATACCATATTTGGTCAAGTTTGTGTGGTTCTAAATCATTCTTACTTTATTCTTACTTTATTAATTACTATCAACCACGCAAACTCATTTTTCTCAATAATCCTGTCACCTTCTTCCGTCCCAATATAAAAGGAGGGAGGTAGTAATTTGTATGGAGAGGAGGGGTCAAAAACGAAAAACAGAGCAATTGAATCAATCTAAAGAATTCATATAGTCAAACTGATAATCCAATCAATCACATTTACATAAACAGAGTTCTCAATCAATATTTTCATCATCTGGTGTTAACATCAAACGAATTGGTTTGCAGTTAATTAGTCTAATTTTTTTTTTTGCGAGAAGTTAATTAGTCTAATTGAATCTTAAAGAATAATTAATAAAACCCGCCAAGCAGAATGTTTTCAAATCCATCGATCATCAGACCCACAGTGCCGCAGTGGCTGCTCATTTATCAAAGGATCCAAAATGCTGCCGGCAAAACACCCAGGCTGCGGCGGCGGCACCATCGTTCTGACGTCAGACTTGTAACCATTCTTCCACTCGAAAGGATCTCCGGTACCCCATAAGTGTCCTCCAAAATCTTTGTCATAATCCAAACAGAAGAAAGAAGGATCATGAATCTGCAGATCATAATAATCACTTCCTTTACTCTTCCCATATTGTGGCAACTCATAAGATCCTCCACAGAAAACAGGATCTTCATGACACAGATTCTTCTCAAAATAATGACTATAGTCACTAATACCAGCAGTAAAACTGCCATCTCCTAGATTCCAGGTATTATCCAACATGGGTATCGATCCAAACCCGTTAACGTTGTAATTAGTGGAATCATTAGTAGTCATCGTTGTCTCTGTCTCCTTGTCCGGAACACCCATCATCTGCGGCGGGGGATCTCGGCTCCGCTTTCTTGGGCGGCAGTCTTTCATAGCCGGCTGATCAGAATCAGATGAATTGGGTTCGGAGACGGCGGCGACGACCTTCTTTCCGGGCGCTGCATCGGCGGCGCCGAGAATGGCCTTGACGTCATCCCGATTCTCAGGCCAGGTTTCCAGCTTTCCGTCTGGGGAGACGATCATGAGGCAGAGCTTCACGCCGCAGAGTGTGGATAACTCTCTGCCTTGTTTCATGATGCTCGCTTTTCTGTTCTCATAACGCACCCTCTTAAGTCTGTCCGCAGATTTCTTCTCTTTGTCCGCCATTGATGATTGTGATGAGCTTCAGTGACTGCGCCAGAGGTCTTGTATTTCTAAAATGTTTCGGTCAAATGTTTTCTGTTCTCATACATTTTTTTTCTCTAAAATGTTTCCAAAATTTACTCGGCTGGATCAAGTTAAAGGGTTTTTCATGGGTTATTAAGTTTCGGTTTGTTTTCATTGATGTTTTTTTAAGGCTGTTTTTCATTGATTTTTTAGAAATAATTGCATAAATATGACCAAAATAAAGATGATTTACAAAAATATGATTAGTTACTAGAGTAGTAATGAAATCATAGTAATTCATGTTCAAAATTTGAACTTTAGTTACCACAACACTACGTTGTAGTAATGAATAGTCATATTTATGTAAATAAGTTTTATTTCAATAATATTCTTGTAAATAAAACCGATTTTTTATTCTGTTCGATTTGAAATTGCTAGGAAGAATGACCACCATGAAAAATCATACTCCTTACTATGTTTTGATTTGGTTCATTCGAATTCGGTTCGGTTTGGATTTAGTCCGTATTATTTTTTAAAAATACGTGAAAAGTTTTTTGAATAATTTAGGTTGGTTCGATTATTTAGATATTTCAAAGTTTCGGTCAATTTGATTTATGGGATTTGTCCTCAAATAATACTAATTAAAAGCATTTGGACAAAAAAAGACTTTTCTTTTAAGTTCCAAAAATAAGACTAAATAATACTTAAGGGACTATTACACCCTTACTATGCCCAAACCCACAGGTCTGCTACAGTAACCCGTCACAGTGACCAAATGTGCAGTGACCAATGTTACTGTTACCAATGACATAGTTACAAAATTCATCCAGTGACTAAAAATAATTAGTGACCAAACATCCAAAATTCCTCAGTGACCAAAAATCATTAGTGACCAAACATCCGAAATTCACCAGTGACAAAAAATTAGTAGTGATTAAAAATCACTATTGTTTTAGTTACTATCTTCCCAGTGACCACCATTCCAATTACTATTGTTTAAGTGACTATTGTTTCAATTACTATCGCTCCAGTGACCATCCTCTCAGTGACCACCGTTCCAGTTACTATTATTTAAGTGACTACCGTTTCAATTACTATCGCTCCAGTTACCTTCGTCTCAGTTACTACCGTTTTAGTTACTACCGCTCCAGTGACCACCGTCTCAATTATTACCGCTTCAGTGATCATCGTTTCAGTTACTACCGCACAATTTGGTTCCACATAATACAATCCAACGGTCCAGATTCGTTTTCATTTTTCTCCTAAGATCTGTTCTTACCGGAACCGCTCCATATATATATATTTATATATAGGGAAGAGATCCTGTCTAGCCGGAGGGACATGACTTTCTCCCCGGCCGTCGCGATTTGGGGCCCTTCCCGGTGGAATTTTTTGCTGAAATTTTTTGAGCATGTTCTTCATGAAGTCTAGTTTATCCATAATAAATTTCAGCTAAAAATTCAATTGGGAAAGCAGTCAAACGATTTTTGGAAGTTAACTGCGCAGTTTATATACATATAAAACGCAGTTATCTTCCGAAAATCATTTGAGTGCCTTCCCAGTTGAATTTTTAGATGAAATTTGGTATAGATAAACTAGACTTGATGAAGAATATGCTCAAAAAAATTCATAAAAAAATTCCACCGGGAAGGACCTCTAATGGCCTTGTCTGGACGGTCCCTCCCGTCCATCCGGAGGGACCTGATCTTTTCTATACACACACACACACAAGAATGATCAGGTCCCCACGTTCGGACAGGACCCTCCGTCCGAACATCCTCTTTTGGGGTTCTTCCCGGTGGAATTGTTTGATGAATTTTTTGAGCATGTTCCTCATCAAGTCTACTTTGTCCATACCAAATTGTAGCTCAAAATTCAATCGGGAAGGCATTCAACTCATTTTTTGAAGTTGACAGCGTTTTTATATGTATATTTTGACACAGTCAACTTCAAAAAATGATTTGAATGCCTTCCCGATCGAATTTTGAGCTAAAATTTGGTACGGACAAACTAGACTTGATGAGGAACATGCTCAAAAAATGACATCAAAAAATTCCACTGGAAAGGGTCCCAAACGTCCATGTTCGGATGGTGTTCGGACCAGGAATGTTCGGACCTGAACATTCCTCTCTATATATATAGTGGTGATCAGGTCCGAACTTCTGGAGGACTTTCTGTACGGCCTATATTAACTTAAGTCGTTGATTTGAAATGGACGGTTAAGATGTTTATTTAATTTTATCCTCATCGTGCCTCTATTATTTTATTATTACTTTGTTCGCTTATTCCTCAAGTCAAACGCAAAAACGGAGATACAGAATAATAATTGAAATTTCAAAATGATAAAAGATGAAAAAATCAAAGAAGATATATACGAGAAATCGTTTTTGAAATTAGAAGCCATCTAGAACACACAGGTCGTCATCTTCTCAATTTTGCAAAATGCAACTTTAACTATTCTTATACTCTGTATCAAATAATTAAAATTGGGATGAAAAAAATCAAAAGTTGAGATTGATACCACCCAAAAATGAAACCCAGATGCATTCCATAGAAAAGACCCAGAATTTAACAAGTCCAATATATATGAATATACTGCATAAATGAATAGGAGATCTAATTTCATAGAGGAACTATAAACAATGGAAGATATGTACAGTACAACCATCTTGGGAAGAAAATAAGAAGATTCATTTGTTTTATATGGTGAAGTAGTCCTTGGATCTCAACAACTTGAAGAGCTTTTTGAAGAACACAAAGTGATACTCATGAAAGGAGAGTTTCTTTCTTTCTTTTTTGGCAAAAGGAGAGGAAGAGGTTTTTTAGGGCTCATACGGCCATAGATTTAAGGAAAAATTCACATCAATAATCCTACCTTTCCACTGTTTTCTATTATTAATCCCAATTATGAGTTATTCTAAAATAATCCAATTTAGAGAAGCAATCTTCCCAAAACAGACCAATAACTTTTTTTTTCTTTCTTCATTTCTTTTAATTTTCTTTTCCTTTTCTCTTTCTTTTCTTGGCTTCTCGGTTCTTCGTTCTCTTCTCTGCTTCTCATCTTGCGATATCCTCTGTTTTCCCTCCTCCTCTTCTTAATTTTCCCACATTTTATCGATTCCTTCCCCATTCTCTTCTTCTTAATTTCGAATTTATGTACGATATCATCCACGAGCCTCCTTCCCCTTGTTCTGTGGAATTTGTGGAGAAATTATGGAGAAAGGAGCATCGATAAAACGTCTTGAGAAATTGGTTAGCCAAGCCTGTGCCACCATGTCCGTCGCTCAACTCCTTCCATTTTCTTATCGTGAAATTCCTGAAAACAAATTGTTATGGTGCAATTGAGGTGTCGAAGTGATTCCAGTGACATAATAAAGAAGTTGGCCCAACCGAGCGATATTCAGTTGAATCGTCTCATGCCATCCGCCTCGTTACCCGATCTGTCAGGACATAAAGTTCTTGGATCGTCCATCATCCAAAATTTGAAGATGAAGGCTTAGCTTGGAACAAACTGTTTTTGGGGAAGAAAAGTCGATACATGCCAGTGTTCCTTTTTAGTTTCTTACGGAGTATATAGAGGATTTCTTTTCCCTTTCCTATTTTGTTTACCGGTTTAGTGGATAGTGGGTAACAGGGATCAATTTGAGAAGATTCCATGTTAACTACAGATTATTGTAGAATAACCGATAAATGAGATTAATATTGGAAGACTGCTAATAGTTCGGATTATTCGTGTGAATTTTTCCTAGATTTAATGAATCTCAAATCTTGGCCATAGATTATCATCTAACGGCTTATACAGGAATAGTTCGGACATATAGTCCTCCGGAAGTCCGGACCAGATCAAAACTCTCTCTCTCTCTCTCTCTCTCTCTCTCTCTCTCTCTATATATATATATATATATATATATATATATATATATATATATATATATATATATATAGGGGAAAGATCAAGTACAAAGTGTGCTTATTGTGCAAATATTTGTACGATGCACCTTGACGTTATTTGCATTGCATATTGAGGTTCAAAGTGTTGCACATTATAAAGTCATAAAAATAACAGTTGCACATTAAGGTGCAACGAGTTGCACCCTAAAAAGTTGGGTTTTATTACAAAAATGCCACCTTGCCTTTATGTCCTTTGGATCAACTCATCGGACGGTCAAGATGAGTTTGTACTTTGTAAATTAAGAAGACTTTGTATTTGATCTCTATTCTATATATATATATATATATATATATATATATATTCAACTCGTGATTACATATGAATGTACCTATTGATCTTCAACGTTGTCAACTACGAGTTCGAACCATGCAAATAAAATGAATACGGAGTATTTGAAAAGGAACTACTACCACCGTCCCTTTTTTATTGGGACGGAAGAGGGTGACACGAGTTTTAAGAAAAACGGGTTTCTGTGGTTGATATTAATTGATAAAGTAAGAATAAAGTAAGAATGATTTTGAGACACACAAACTTCACCAAATAAGGTATGAGACAATTAAATAGGGACATATCAATATGGTAAAACAGGACATTTAAAAGGGGACAGAGTATCTTTTAAAAAATGTTAGGCCAAAACTTGATGAACTAATATAATGCTAACTTTGACTCATAATTACAAATTTCCAATAACAAAAATAAATAGGTTGCTCACACAAAATTTAGAAACTCAAGAACCGAGAAACAGTGTTATGAGTCTATTACAAGTGCTTGTATTGTAAGATAATCAATACTGTCCCCTTTATATTGTCTCGTTTTACTTTTTCGAGATGTGTGTTGGGGTAAATCACGTAGGGGGTGATAATTTGAGTACTTGGATTGCTTAAGGATCGTGTAAGTTCACTTTCCGAATTGATATTTCTCCCCTATGCCTGGGTTACAAGAAATTCAATCTAGGATAATCCTTAAGGACACTCTAGAACTTAGACACAAGAACTAGAGCCAAACTAGTCGAGTATATGGATTGTTATCTTTAATTTGAGTGCCAAAGTGATGAAGATATGTTGGATATGTTTCCTCCTTCTCCTCTGTACGAAATATGGTGGTATATATCCATATTCATCGTTCTAGGCAGTAGTAACACGATTAAGAATAACCGCAGCAGTTTTTGGGAAACTGCTGGAAACTGCCTAACCGTTCTAGAACTCGGTCTAGAACCACAGAGCTGGTCTACTGAAAGTTATACCTCGAGTTCTACCTCGAGTTCCACTAATGTAGACACTTTGGAACTAAACTAGTTCTTATATACAAGTGTGCACTCCACACCTACTAACTTGTATTAGATCATAGTTCTAATTCCCATTGGCACTCATGTCATTTCCAATTACACAAAATGGCCGGTGACACTAAAATCACCAACAATCCTCCCCCATTTTAGTGTAACCCATGAAATGACATAACAAAGCTTACAAACCAAAACTTGCACATAAATGGAAATGTCGATACGATTGAATTTCCATCTTAGTATTTTACACATTCAAAATATTCGAGAATCAGGGTGTCCTACGGATTGAACCCTTCAACCCATTTGAATACCTCAAGATAAAATACATACAAGTTTCAATACTCAACTAGAATACAAACTTGACACAATTATAAAGTCGTGTGTCCTAATCCCATTCATGACCGTATAAAAGCCAAGTCCCAAGCATTTTGAAGTGCGGCTACACTTCACGATCATATAGGTAATTCCTTTAGTCGTGTACCTGCTTACACTTTATCAAAGGAATTATTAAGAAATAAATTCAGCCTCCCTACTACAGGTCCGAACACACACCTTGGGATGATTTTCATTGTGTGTTCCAATCCATTAAGTGTGAGCTTTCCGCATTGAATTCAGCCTCTAACGTTGTATTAGAGGGGAATTGGGTGTCTCACCATTAAGGATTAAATGGACTTTAAACCCATCCCTATAACAGACTTGTGCACTAAGTCCCGGGCCAAGCTTTTGGTCAAGTGGTCCGCCAAGTTATGTTGCGATCTTACAAATTCCACCGAAATTACACCATTCATGATTAGTTCTCCAATCATACTATGTCTAACACCTAAGTGTCTAGACTTGCCATTATAAACATGACTATATGCCTTAGCCAAAGTGGCAGCACTATCACAATGGATAGAAATAGGTGCAATCGGCTTCCCCCATAATGGAATCTCAAAAATTAAATTTCTTAACCACTCCGCCTCTTTACCGGCGGTAGCCAACGCAACAAATTCAGATTCCATCGTTGAACTTGTGATACAAGTTTGCTTCTTGGATGCCCAAGAAATGGCACCTCCCCCAAGCAAGAATACCCAACCACTTGTAGAAGAATGATCCTCTACATTGGATATCCAACTTGCATCTGAATATCCCTCTAAAACCGAAGGATACTCAAAGTAACACAAACCATAATCCATAGTTCCCTTTAAATACTTGAACACTATCTTCATTGCTTGCCAATGTTGAGTACTAGGATTACTAGTAAACCGGCTCAACCTACCCACGGCAAAAGCAATATCCGGCCGAGTGCTTGTCATGGCATACATTAAACTACCAATAGCTTGAGAGTACTCAAGTTGTGATACCGCCTTTCCTTTATTAGGCATCAACTTCACACTAGGATTCATGGGAGTACCAACGGGTGAACAATCACTATAATTAAACCTTTTGAGAATATTCTCAACATAGTGAGCTTGTGTCAAAGCAATCCCTTTGTTTACCCGTTTAATCCTTATACCAAGGATCACATCTGCCTCCCCCATGTCCTTCATGGAAAACCTTGATGATAACAACCTTTTGGTTTCATCAACCTGATTTTGGTCCGTTCCAAAAATCAGCATGTCATCAACATAGAGACATATGATCACACCCGCTCCGAATGCATCAAATCGGCTATAGACACACTTGTCCGATTGGTTTAAACTAAAACCATTGGACAAAATAACTTCATCAAACTTTTGATGCCATTGTTTGGGTGCTTGTTTCAGCCCATACAATGATTTAACAAGTTTACAAACCTTATGCTCATGTCCCGGCATAACAAAACCTTCCGGTTGTTTCATGTAAACTTCCTCATCAAGATCACCATTTAAAAATGCCGTCTTGACATCCATCTGATGTATAATTAGATTGTGTATAGCCGCCAAAGCAATTAACAACCTAATGGTTGTAATTCGAGCAACCGGCGCATACGTGTCAAAATAGTCAATTCCGGGTTTTTGTCTAAAACCTTGAATGACCAACCGAGCCTTGAACCTGTCAACAGTTCCATCCACTTTCATCTTCTTTTTGAAGATCCATTTGCAACCTAAGGGTTTAGAACCCGGTGGCAAATCCGACAACACCCAAGTGTTGTTCTCCATAATTGATGACATTTCATCATCAATTGCCTCCTTCCAAAAGGCAACATCTCGGGATTCCATTGCCTCTTTAAAGGTCTTTGGATCATCCTCAACTTGGCAACAATATGAATATTGTACCCCCGTTTCATCCCTTGAACCTTCCACTAAATACAAGTGAAAATCGGGACCAAAGTCTTTCACGATGCGGCCTCGTTTGCTTTTCCTTATTTGTGGTGTTTCGGGATTCAAAACACCATCCAAACATTCTGGAACTTGCACCTCACTAGTGCCTGGAACTAGGTCCTTTGGTCTTTGAATTGATGAAAATCTCATCTCATCAAAGATCACATCCCGAGACTCAATCACGGTGTTAACCGCTACCACATCATTAGGTTCTATTACATAAAACCTATAAGCCTTGGAATGTTCAGCATACCCTAGGAATATGCAATCAATTCCTCTTTCCCCCAAAGTTTTCCTTTTGGGCTCGGGCAATTTTACAACCGCCCTACAACCCCAAACCCGAAAATATTTCAAATTCGGCGCTTTCTTGTACCAAAGGTCATATGGGATTGTCTTGTTCCTTTTATTTGGAACCCTATTTAGAACATAGCAGGCCGTGAGCATGGCCTCTCCCCAAAACCCTTCACTCAAACCCGAGTAGGAAAGCATGGAATTAACCATTTCCTTTAACACTAGATTTTTCCGTTCGGCCACACCATTTTGTTGTGGTGTATACGGAGCCGTGGTCTCAAGAATGATTCCAACAGATTGAAAATAATGGGGATCCATATATTCTCCTCCCCGATCAGTCCTAAGACATTTAATTGGATTACCCAATTGCAATTCAACCTCGGTTTTATACACTTTAAATTTCTCTAAAGCTTCATCCTTGGTGTGTAATAAATACACATAACAAAACCGAGTCGAATCATCAATAAAAGTAACAACATACTTTTTATTGCCAAGGGAAGGAGTTGAGTGAAAGTCACATAGATCACTATGTACAAGATCCAAAATAGCCGAATTCCTTTCAACATTAGGAAACGGTTGTTTTGTGATCTTAGTAAGCATGCAAGTCCTACACTTATCATCATTAATACCAAAAGCAGGAATTAAACCATCTTTAGACATTTCATGCATTTTTCTAAAATTAATGTGAGCTAGTCTAGCATGCCAAATCATACAATCATTCATGGAAGATGCCACAAAAACAGAATTATCACTAGGAATTAATTTATTCACAACATTTAAACGAAACATGCGATTTGATAAATATCCAAAACCAACAAACACACCACCCTTGGACAGAATATATTTATCGGATTCAATCACTTGTTTGAACCCTAAATTATTCAACATACTTCCCGAAACAAGATTCTTTCGAACCTTCGGTACATACAAAACATCAAACAACGTAATTGTTTTCCCAGAAGTAAATTCTAAAACAACTACACCCTTTCCCAAGATAGGCACCATTGACTCGTCTCCCATGCGTAATAAGGAACCGACCTCCACTTGTTCTAGGTCTTCAAACCATCCTTTATCCTTACACACATGGCTCGTAGCCCCCGAGTCAATCCACCATGCACAGTCATCATCCTGTACATAAAAAGATTCTGGAATGAGTGATACATAATTCTGGACAGAATTATCAAAGTTAGTCAGGAACTGACCTCCTTTCCGTGGAACCAGGTCCTTAGACCGTTTGTCACGCCCCAGACCGCAATCCAAGCGCGTGTACAACCGCCGTATAACTAAGTGACGTCACCCACGGGTCAACCTCACTTAATTACACAAGGCGTTCGAGAAAACAATCCATCCATACTCAGTAGTAAACATACATAACAACATCACATTAAACCAATGAATAGCGGAAATATTCAACGGTAAGTCATGGGCCACAACCGGCCGACAACATGGGCATGCAAGCCCCAAAAATAGTTTGTAGTAAAACAAATATCCATGAGCAAGTGTTCGGTAGTTTGAAAGAAAATAAGGAAGCACGAACCACGTCTCCCTGATTTGATATCACCCGTGAGAAGGTGCAAGTAGCAAGCTCTAGCTTCAACCTGAAAATGGTGGGGCCCCCCGAAGGGGTCAGTACAAGTACCGAGCGAGTAGCAGGCTAAATATAGAATAACTAGCGTTTCAAGTATAAGACCCAAACATAGGGTGATACTTAAATAAATAATCTTTCCCCCAAGTTATGAAATACTTATTAGTATATATATACTTGGAAAATATCCGATCCGTAGATCACCATTTTATTCGGGAAAATAGTAATAGTCAATATTCTTGACTAAAAACCCCAACCCACCCATATACCTATGAGTGTATAGGACTCCTCCTTGTCCCTACTTGTATATCACAATCTATGAGTTTTAGGATCATAATCCTTGGATACTCCACCGGTTTGTGAGTGTTAAGGACTCATAAGTCCTAGGGTCCTCCACCAAGTTTGAGTGTTAAGTACTTTTAAGTACTAGGGTCCTCCACCAAGTTTGAGTGTTAAGGACTTTTAAGTCCTAGGGTCCTCCACCAAGTTTTGAGTGTTAAGTACTTTTAAGTACTAGGGTCCTCCACCAAGTTTTGAGTGTTAAGTACTTTTAAGTACTAGGGTCCTCCACCAAGTTTGAGTGTTAAGGACTTTAAGTCCTAGGGTCCTCCACCAAGTTTTGAGTGTTAAGTACTTTTTAAGTACTAGGGTCCCCCACCAAGTTTGAGTGTTAAGTACTTTTTAAGTACTAGGGTCCTCCACCAAGTTTTCCTATGATCAACCTCCTATCAACCTAGATAGAGTCTATATCATCCTTAGTTACTCATAACTAATCCAATACATAAATCTTATGTATCACAATCCATGCAAAGCCATGCATTTAAATAAATGTATAATTAACTAACATCAACCGATATTAATTAATCCATCATCCATCGGTCAACGTTGTCGTTGACCGCCAATTCAAGCCTTGTTCACATCAACTTAATCATCATATAATTAAGTCAATAATACTCATTTGAGCTTCTTTTACACTTCAAGCTAATGTGCATTTTATATAATCTCTCATATCATATTTCATGCATAATCAATTAATTCTTTTCATACAACTTGATAATGTTGGCTAATCACATGTTTAATTATCTTTTAAACATCATTATGAAAACATATAACATTTATTTAGGTAATCTCATAATTAACCCAAAAGTTATAAGATATTAAGCCGTCCACTCACCTTGAACTAGCGTTAAGAAGTTCTACCCTTCTTGGTTGAACTCCGGTGAAACTCCGGCGACTTGGTCAACTCCGGCGACAACTCCGGCGACTTTTCCAACTTTGTGAAATCACTTGAAATACCCTTTACAAGTCCCTAACAAGGTTTTATAATCATAAAACCCATATTAATACAAATAACCTCAAAAAGGTTATTTTCCGGTGAACCGGTCGTTTTGGCTTCTAAGTCCGTTCTTGGACATAGAATCACTTTCCAACCCATTAATCCATACTTATAACATGTAGAACCCTCTTAAGGATTCTTCACATGATATATATCTCATATGGTAGAAGAAAAATAAAGAAAAAGTTATAATAAGGTCATTACCTTAATTATTTCACACTTTTAGCACTTTAGCTCCTTTTTGGGTGATTCTTCCTTGATGATTTCTCTTCAACAATGGAGGGAGGAAGAATGGAGAGTTTTCCTTCTCTTTTTCTGCAGCTTGGCCGAACAAATGGGGGAGAGAGGAAGGGGATGGACCTTTGTCTCATTAAACCAATGAGTGTAAAAAAAATGGGGGTCCACCTAGGTACTTTTGATGCCATTCCCTTCATGTCAAACCCTTCTCCCATGCTCCCTCCTTCTACCAGCCGACCAACCCTCAAGTTTGAGTGGAAAAATCGTGGGTTGGCCCCCACTCATGTGGGAGGTCAACCCCTTTTGTCCCGAAGTGTACAATTTGTCCCGAAAGTTGTATTTTTCGGACTGCTTTAAATATATTTTATTTTATCGGTTCAAATAAAATATATTATGTGCTCTTACTCATTATGACATGTATAATGAATGTACATTCCCCAACTTTAATTTATAAGCCTCCGAAATTCATTTTCGGGCTGTTATCTGTTAAATTGTCGGTACCGGTAATTGGGTCTCTTTTTCCCCAATCGGTCAACTCTGCGCCTTTCCACGACTCAAACGAAATGTCCACCACTATATAAATATTATCTTGACCAAGATGAATAAAATATGTGGTCTCGGGAGTGTCGGGCGGCCCCCGCTCCCGGTGTGGGCCCCACGTGCAATTTACTATTCACGCGAAAGAATAATAAAAATTTACAACTTCGTAAATTCGTAATCATTCCATAAGGTTTATTACATCATTTACTTGAAAGTAAATACATTTGGGGACGGTGTTACAAGTTCACCCCCCCCTTGTTTGGGATTTCGTCCCCGAAATCCGTGTGTCTAATCGAAAAGAAACGGGTATTGCTCCCTCATTGAGACTTCGGTCTCCCAAGTTTCTTCTTCGACTCGATCACTCCGCCAAAGAACCTTTACCATAGGAATCTCCTTATTCCTAAGCTTCTTCACTTGTTGACCTACTATCTTCACCGGCTCTACCGCATATTGCAAATCCTCACGGATCTCTACCGGTGGTTTCTCAAGAATATGAGATGGGTCTCGTATGTACTTCTTGAGCATCGATACATGAAACACGTCATGTATCTTCTCAAGCTCTGGTGTCAACTTGAGACGATAAGCCACAGCTCCAATCCTTTCAAGGATTTCAAATGGACCAATGTATCGGGAATTAAGCTTCCCCCTCGATACAAATCGGATGATGCCCTTCCAAGGAGAAATCCTTAGAAAAACCTCATCACCGACCTCGAACTCCAACGGTCTCCGCCGTTTGTCAGCATAACTCTTCTGTCGGTCCTGAGCGGCCTTCAGTCTATCCCGAATGATCCTTACCTTGGCCTTGGTGATCTCAACCAGTTCTATTCCTTCGAGTTTGGCCTCGCCAACCTCGTCCCAACACAACGGTGTCCTGCATTTCCTCCCATACAATGCCTCATATGGAGGCATGCCAATACTTGCTTGATAACTGTTGTTATAAGCGAACTCCACTAGGGCCAAATGTTTGTCCCAACTTCCTTGGAACTCCAGCGCACATGCCCTAAGCATGTCTTCCAAAATCTGTATCACCCGTTCGGACTGTCCATCCGTCTGTGGGTGAAAAGCTGTGCTAAACTTCAGTTTAGTACCCAACGATGCTTGAAACTTTGGCCAAAATCGGGATGTGAATCGTGGATCCCTATCCGAGACAATGGATATTGGGACTCCATGTAATCTCACAATCTCCTCCGTGTATAGCTTGGCCAATCTTTCAAGAGGATAAGTAATGTTGATAGGCAAAAAGTGTGCACTCTTGGTGAGCCTATCAACCACTACCCAAACTGCATCATAGTTGTTCACCGTTCGTGGTAGCCCCACCACGAAGTCCATGGTCACGTGCTCCCACTTCCACTCTGGGATGGTGAGTGGTTGTAAGAGCCCTGCTGGGTGCTGATGCTCTGCCTTAACTTGCTGGCAAGTAAGGCATCGACTCACAAACTCTGCAATATCCTTTTTCATGCCTGACCACCAGTAACTTTCCTTCAGATCTCGGTACATCTTAGTACCCCCTGGATGCATGGCATATGCTGACGAATGAGCCTCCTCAAGTATAGCTCTCTGGAGCTCCTCATTCTTTGGTATGCACACACGATCCTTAAATAGTAAAAGACCGTCATCACGTACCCGAAAATTCTCGACGGGCCCCTCAAGGATCCGTTCGCGGATTTTCTGACATTCCTCATCAATGGCCTGACTTCGACTAATCTCGCCCAATAGGGTGGGCCTAACCTCGAATCGAGCAATGAGAGCCCCGCACGTGGACACCTCCACGCGCGCCCTCAATGCCTGTAGGCATGTGAGTAGCGTCCCCGACGTACTCTTTCTGCTCAGTGCGTCGGCCACGACGTTGGCCTTTCCTGGATGGTAATCGATGATCAAGTCATAGTCCTTGATCAACTCCATCCATCTCCTCTGTCTCATATTCAACTCTTTCTGAGTGAATACGTACTTCAAGCTCTTATGGTCTGTAAAAATGTGACATGTCTCCCCGTAGAGATAATGCCTCCAGATTTTCAGTGCAAACACTACCGCCCCCAATTCTAGGTCATGGGTAGGGTAGTTCACCTCGTGCTTCCTCAATTGCCTTGAAGCATAGGCAATCACTTTACCGTTTTGCATCAGTACACATCCAAGCCCTTGGATGCTAGCATCACTGTATATATCATACCCTATCCCTTGTATGGGTAGGGCAAGGACTGGTGCTTCGGTAAGTCGTTTCTTCAGTTCAAGGAACCCTTTCTCACACTTGTCGTCCCATATGAACTTGGCCCCTTTCTTTGTGAGCTTCGTTAATGGAGACGCCAATACAGAAAATTTTTCAACAAATTTACGATAGTATCCTGCTAAGCCAAGGAAACTACGTATCTCTTTCACATTCTTGGGTCTCTCCCAATCCATGATAGCCTTTATCTTGGCGTTATCCACAGCAACGCCCGAACCGGATATGACGTGACCAAGGAAACCAATCTCCTTGAGCCAAAATTCGCATTTAGAGAACTTGGCAAAGAGTTGCTTTTCCCTCAGCCGATCAAGTATAAGCCCCAAATGATGCTCGTGTTCCTCCTCGCTCTTGGAGTATATCAAGATGTCATCAATGAATACTATCACAAATTGATCTAAGTATTCACTAAACACCCGGTTCATCAAGTCCATGAATGCTGCCGGTGCGTTGGTTAAACCAAATGACATCACAAGGAACTCGTAATGACCGTACCTAGTGCGGAATGCACTCTTAGGTATGTCGCTCCCCTTGATCTTCAACTGATGATACCCCGACCTCAAATCAATCTTTGAGAACACTATTGCCCCCCGAAGTTGATCAAACAAGTCATCAATCCTCGGTAAGGGATACCTGTTCTTGATTGTGACCTTGTTCAACTGTCGGTAGTCAATACACATTCTTAGTGTACCATCCTTCTTCTTCACGAAGAGTACGGGTGCCCCCCCACGGTGAATGACTGGGTCTGATGAACCCGTTGTCCAGTAATTCTTGTAGTTGGACCTTCAACTCTTGGAGTTCGGCCGGTGCCATTCGATAAGGAGGAATCGAAATGGGTTTGGTTCCCGGCTCCACTTCAATTACAAACTCTATCTCTCTATCGGGTGGAAGCCCCGGTAGGTCTTTGGGAAAGACATCCGGGTATTTGCACACGACCCGTACATCCTTGATGTCGACTTCCTTCTTGGTATCGTCCACCACGTAGGCAAGGTATGCGTGGCATCCCTTCCTCATCATCTTCCGTGCTCTCATCACGGATATTATACAAGCATTAGATTTCCCCCGATCTCCCTCGAAACATAGTGTGTTTCCTTGATTATCCTCGAGCTCTAACACTTTGGTGTAGCAATCTACTCGAGCATGGTGTTTCTCGAGCCAATCCATTCCTAGGATTGCATCGAACTCCAACATGCTTAGAGGTACGAAATCACAAGTCAAAGGTTGACCCGTCACTTCTACCTCGCACGACGGATAGTAATGATTTCTCTCCACGTCGTCTCCTAACGGTGTGGAGACTAGCAATGTTTGCGTCATAGGTGTCAATGGCACGTCAAGGCCCTCGGCGAACGCCTCACTCACAAATGAGCGTTGTGCCCCGGTATCGATGAGGATCCTCGCACACCTACCATTGATCTTTAATGTTCCTACATTTATACACCATGTAAGATACCTTTTCTAATGTTTTTACACATTTTTAGGAGGTTATTAGGCTCATACTAATGTTTGGAATCAAACGGGGGTCCAAACGTAGAAGAACGGGGCGAAAAAATCAAGTTTCGGGTGTTGGGGGGGGTCCACGCACGGCGTGCCTGGGTGGCACGCACGGTCGTGCGTGCGTGAGAAACTCGGAATCCGCCACTGCCGGCTACGCACGATCGTGCGTAGCTGGTCACGCACGATCGTGCGTCCTACGCACGGCGTGCCTTACCTGCACGCACGGCGTGCGTCTGCGCGGAAAACGGCCAGAGGCTACTGCCTCGCACGCACGGTCGTGCGTCTGTAGGTACGCGCGATCGCGCGTAGTTGTTTTTAGCCCGTGTCGCCCCGAATTCGCGGGGTTTGACCCCGGGGTGGCCCGCACCCAAACCCAATGACTCATATGACCCAAATAAGCCTAGAAATAGAGGAAAATAAGTGTATTACCTGCAACGGAGTCCGGGTTTGCTCGCGCATCCGCCTCGGTCATTGCGTACACTCGTGCTTGGGTCCCGCCTTGATTTACGGACGCGGCATGACTTGTGGATGCGTTGCCTCTTCCCGTACCGCCGTTTGACGGTCCCGCACGGTTTCTTCCCGTCATGGTTCCTCCTCCGGATCCCGGAGCTCCTCCTCCCCCTAGTTGTGGGCAATTGGCCTTCATGTGACCCGTGTTCCCACATTGATAACACCTTGGGGGTGCATTGCATTTCCCAAAGTGATTTTTCGAACAATTAGCACACCTAGGGGGTCCCGTCTTTTGGGAGGAGGATGCATGCCACCGAGCATCCTTGTTCTTCTTTGTCGGTGGTGCCGGTGTTTTGAACGAACCCCCACCTCCGCCGTGTTTATCCCTCCGTGCTTGCTCGGGCGGCCCCGAGCTTTGCCATTTTCTCTTTTTCGCCTCTTCGGCGTCTCTCTCTTTCCTCTCATTCCATTGGGCCTCCCCGAGAAGGCCCTGTTCCACCACCTCGCTGAAGGTCATGTGGCGCGAGTACGTAGCTCGGTCACGAATGTCCAAGAGTAGGGCATCCCAAAAGTGCTCCGTCATGCGGTTCTCATCAACCGCGTACTCCGGCAAGAACCTAGCCAAGGTTCTAAACTCTTGTTCCAGTTGTTTAACTGTGCCGCCATCTTTCTGTTTGAGGTTAGTGTACTCTCTCCGTTTCACATTCACCTCGTACTCGGAGTAGTATTGAGCATAGAACTCTAGCTCAAAGTCCGCCCATGTTATTTCCCCATGGTACTTCCCTTCCACGCTCTCCCACCACGTAGAAGCTATCCCTTCAAGGAGCCGTGAAGCGACAGTCAACTTCACGTCCGGTGTGATTTGCATGTCCCTTGATGCATCCTTCACCTTCTTGATCCAATCGGCGGCAACGGTAATGTCACCGGTGCCGTCAAAGGACCTACACCCCAAGGCCCTAGCCTCCTTGAGGTACTTGGAGATTCTCACAACAAAACCTCCTTCACGCCCACCTTGTGACGCCGCTGGGGTGGCCACGGAAGCTCCCCGGCTTCCTTGACCCGAACCACCACGAGAGCCACGCCTCGCTTGGCGCCTACGGTCTCTCCTCAGTTTCTCCTTTTGATACCACTCAAGTAATTCACCCATCTGGGCGAATCGGGCATCACTCTCATCGTCATCATCGGTGTATGCGTCCCCCCCATCATACGGGGTCTCCTCATGCTCCGTTTCTGGAACGTAGGTTGAGTCATAGTCCTCGGTGTTGGTTTCATACACCGAGCTTACATGGCCATCACTCACAGATTGAGCTTGATGACCTCCACGGCTTCCACGGCCTCCACGGCCTCCTCTCGAACCCCGAGATGCAGCCCGGCTTCCCCTTTGGGATACTACCGGCGCCTGCCCCCTCGGATTGTTCCTGGTCCTCATTCGCCTGCCCTCTATTTCTGAAAGAAATATGGATGAGCCATTAGACTCCTATAAATGTCAACTGACGGAAGAACGTTACAGACACGTATTGGCCCAAGTCACTACCATACCAATTGTTAAGGGTACCGTCTTAACAATTAGAGGCCTTGCAACTTAAGCACCAATAGTCCTATAAACGTCAAAATACAATGCTCATGGTTTTCGGTAAAATCTCTTTTGCAAATTCTTTTGTGAGAGGTTGATTATATAGTTTAGAACTGAGATGGCTCTGATACCACTTAATTGTCACGCCCCAGACCGCAATCCAAGCGCGTGTACAACCGCCGTATAACTAAGTGACGTCACCCACGGGTCAACCTCACTTAATTACACAAGGCGTTCGAGAAAACAATCCATCCATACTCAGTAGTAAACATACATAACAACATCACATTAAACCAATGAATAGCGGAAATATTCAACGGTAAGTCATGGGCCACAACCGGCCGACAACATGGGCATGCAAGCCCCAAAAATAGTTTGTAGTAAAACAAATATCCATGAGCAAGTGTTCGGTAGTTTGAAAGAAAATAAGGAAGCACGAACCACGTCTCCCTGATTTGATATCACCCGTGAGAAGGTGCAAGTAGCAAGCTCTAGCTTCAACCTGAAAATGGTGGGGCCCCCCCGAAGGGGTCAGTACAAGTACCGAGCGAGTAGCAGGCTAAATATAGAATAACTAGCGTTTCAAGTATAAGACCCAAACATAGGGTGATACTTAAATAAATAATCTTTCCCCCAAGTTATGAAATACTTATTAGTATATATATACTTGGAAAATATCCGATCCGTAGATCACCATTTTATTCGGGAAAATAGTAATAGTCAATATTCTTGACTAAAAACCCCAACCCACCCATATACCTATGAGTGTATAGGACTCCTCCTTGTCCCTACTTGTATATCACAATCTATGAGTTTTAGGATCATAATCCTTGGATACTCCACCGGTTTGTGAGTGTTAAGGACTCATAAGTCCTAGGGTCCTCCACCAAGTTTGAGTGTTAAGTACTTTTAAGTACTAGGGTCCTCCACCAAGTTTGAGTGTTAAGGACTTTTAAGTCCTAGGGTCCTCCACCAAGTTTTGAGTGTTAAGTACTTTTAAGTACTAGGGTCCTCCACCAAGTTTTGAGTGTTAAGTACTTTTAAGTACTAGGGTCCTCCACCAAGTTTGAGTGTTAAGGACTTTAAGTCCTAGGGTCCTCCACCAAGTTTTGAGTGTTAAGTACTTTTTAAGTACTAGGGTCCCCCACCAAGTTTGAGTGTTAAGTACTTTTTAAGTACTAGGGTCCTCCACCAAGTTTTCCTATGATCAACCTCCTATCAACCTAGATAGAGTCTATATCATCCTTAGTTACTCATAACTAATCCAATACATAAATCTTATGTATCACAATCCATGCAAAGCCATGCATTTAAATAAATGTATAATTAACTAACATCAACCGATATTAATTAATCCATCATCCATCGGTCAACGTTGTCGTTGACCGCCAATTCAAGCCTTGTTCACATCAACTTAATCATCATATAATTAAGTCAATAATACTCATTTGAGCTTCTTTTACACTTCAAGCTAATGTGCATTTTATATAATCTCTCATATCATATTTCATGCATAATCAATTAATTCTTTTCATACAACTTGATAATGTTGGCTAATCACATGTTTAATTATCTTTTAAACATCATTATGAAAACATATAACATTTATTTAGGTAATCTCATAATTAACCCAAAAGTTATAAGATATTAAGCCGTCCACTCACCTTGAACTAGCGTTAAGAAGTTCTACCCTTCTTGGTTGAACTCCGGTGAAACTCCGGCGACTTGGTCAACTCCGGCGACAACTCCGGCGACTTTTCCAACTTTGTGAAATCACTTGAAATACCCTTTACAAGTCCCTAACAAGGTTTTATAATCATAAAACCCATATTAATACAAATAACCTCAAAAAGGTTATTTTCCGGTGAACCGGTCGTTTTGGCTTCTAAGTCCGTTCTTGGACATAGAATCACTTTCCAACCCATTAATCCATACTTATAACATGTAGAACCCTCTTAAGGATTCTTCACATGATATATATCTCATATGGTAGAAGAAAAATAAAGAAAAAGTTATAATAAGGTCATTACCTTAATTATTTCACACTTTTAGCACTTTAGCTCCTTTTTGGGTGATTCTTCCTTGATGATTTCTCTTCAACAATGGAGGGAGGAAGAATGGAGAGTTTTCCTTCTCTTTTTCTGCAGCTTGGCCGAACAAATGGGGGAGAGAGGAAGGGGATGGACCTTTGTCTCATTAAACCAATGAGTGTAAAAAAAATGGGGGTCCACCTAGGTACTTTTGATGCCATTCCCTTCATGTCAAACCCTTCTCCCATGCTCCCTCCTTCTACCAGCCGACCAACCCTCAAGTTTGAGTGGAAAAATCGTGGGTTGGCCCCCACTCATGTGGGAGGTCAACCCCTTTTGTCCCGAAGTGTACAATTTGTCCCGAAAGTTGTATTTTTCGGACTGCTTTAAATATATTTTATTTTATCGGTTCAAATAAAATATATTATGTGCTCTTACTCATTATGACATGTATAATGAATGTACATTCCCCAACTTTAATTTATAAGCCTCCGAAATTCATTTTCGGGCTGTTATCTGTTAAATTGTCGGTACCGGTAATTGGGTCTCTTTTTCCCCAATCGGTCAACTCTGCGCCTTTCCACGACTCAAACGAAATGTCCACCACTATATAAATATTATCTTGACCAAGATGAATAAAATATGTGGTCTCGGGAGTGTCGGGCGGCCCCCGCTCCCGGTGTGGGCCCCACGTGCAATTTACTATTCACGCGAAAGAATAATAAAAATTTACAACTTCGTAAATTCGTAATCATTCCATAAGGTTTATTACATCATTTACTTGAAAGTAAATACATTTGGGGACGGTGTTACACCGTTCCTGTCCACTGCCACTCGTTCCAGCGCCATTCTTGTTCAGTTTCACACGGCAATCACGCTTGACATGTCCAACCTTTTGACACCTCCAACAAACCAAACCTTTCGGTTTCTTGTTGGGTTTGTCATGGTCTTCATACTTGCGCTTTTTGCCTTTCCCCTTATCTTTCGGGTTAGATTTATTATCCTCAACCAAGTGAACATGAGCCATTCTAGATTCAACTTCACCCATAATTTGGTCATTCTCTTGCACACGAAGATTCTCCTCAATGCGCAAGTGACTCCCAAGTTGAACCAAGGACAGTTCCTCATCTTGATGTTTTAAAGAACGTTTAAAATCCTTCCAAGAGGGTGGAAGTTTGTCAATTATACTCGACACGGCATAGGACTCATCAACACCTATCTTGTGGAGTTTAAATTGACCAAGAACACGAAGGAGTTCATTGTATTGTTCCATAACCGGCCTTGAGTCAACCATTTTATAATTATTAAAATCACTCACCAAGAACTTCTTACTAGAAGCATCCTCGGCGATGTATTTTGACTCAAGAGAATTCCACAATTCCTTAGCACTCTCAACGTTTTGGTAAATATCAAATAACGCATCAGACATACCGTTAAGGATGTGGCCTCTACATATGTAGTCATCGTTCTCCCACTTGTTGCGCCTCCTAGTTTGTTCCAAGGTTTCATCTTCCATCACCTCCGGCATTGGAGTGCTCAACACGTACACAACCTTCAACGTGGTGAGAAGAAAGTGCATCTTCTTCTGCCATCTACGGAAATCGTTCCCTTGAAACTTGTTTAATTTGTTGAACTTGGATGTCATCTCTTCCACGGTACTCATGATTATCACAAAGGAAATATCAATTCGATTGTTGGGGTAAATCACGTAGGGGTGATAATTTGAGTACTTGGATTGCTTAAGGATCGTGTAAGTTCACTTTCCGAATTGATATTTCTCCCCTATGCCTGGGTTACAAGAAATTCAATCTAGGATAATCCTTAAGGACACTCTAGAACTTAGGCACAAGAACTAGAGCCAAACTAGTCGAGTATATGGATTGTTATCTTTAATTTGAGTGCCAAAGTGATGAAGATATGTTGGATATGTTTCCTCCTTCTCCTCTGTACGAAATATGGTGGTATATATCCATATTCATCGTTCTAGGCAGTAGTAACACGATTAAGAATAACCGCAGCAGTTTTTGGGAAACTGCTGGAAACTGCCTAACCGTTCTAGAACTCGGTCTAGAACCACAGAGCTGGTCTACTGAAAGTTATACCTCGAGTTCTACCTCGAGTTCCACTAATGTAGACACTTTGGAACTAAACTAGTTCTTATATACAAGTGTGCACTCCACACCTACTAACTTGTATTAGA